CGTGCCGTAATGTGAATTACCACGATCATTTGTGTGAATCATTTTCGTGAATCTTCTTGAAATACGGAGAGAACTACTTTCAATCATGACATGTAATAATCTCTATTTTCCCCAAATTTCTGCTAGCATTATTTACACACAGATTCTCAATGAAATTTCATATCAACTTTAAATTGTCATGATAATCTTTATGTTTAATTTACGTAAAAGGTTTGTCATTTTTGCTAGCAAACTCGCTTCAAATTTGAGATCACCGCGTTTAAAATAAACTCTTCCCTTTAGTTTCCTCTCAGTGTGATAATACCGTTCGTCTCCATGCCATTTGGCATGTAGCTTGTAACTCGTACTCGTTGTACAGTTGATTTAGTGGTTCTTCGCTCAGTTCTCTGCCTCAGTTTCTCTGAGCCTTTTGGTCCAATCTGTTGGTAGTTTAGACTATTTTTGGTAACCTTTATTTCTAGAGCATGAGAAAAGTACTGTTTAATTCTTATTTAATTTTATTACGAATTTTTATGCCAATTTGTATTATTTTGTGAATTGCTAATATATGAATAGCTTACATGACACACCGTTGAATACTATTAGTTAAATCTCCAGTGTATACTCTTTCGTGCGGTCAGAACTTCTTTGCTGCGCCAAGGAGTTTCAGCCGATGGTTCCGCCAAAGAAACTCCAGTCTGCCTGAAAAGAAAGTGTAATCTACGAGAAATGGCTTGGGTTCATCATAAAGAGTCTTCCTCAATCTATCTTGGTTTTTCTTTCATACTATTCTTAAACTTTCGTGTTCGCCGTACTCTTCATTTACTTCTGAAGTGTATTTCGAGTGACTTGACCTGTTATTCTGTTATAATTCATCAGTAATACGAGCTATTGAATACAAACTTTAAAAAGTGGCAAGTTATCCTCAAATATTGTTCTTAGCGCGTGCATTATCATCGAAAATTGATTCCTCCCTGATGAGTGGTTCTGAAAACCTACTTACTGTAGAATAAAAATCAGGATTTTTCTTTCTGGCTAAACGGCACCGAGTCTCTTTTAATTCCTGTGCCCTTTTCGTTGTTTTCCCCCCAGTTTCATATTCCCAGAAGGCTGAATGAAGAGGGCACATTGTTTGCGGTCTAGTACATTCTGTTACATATATAACTGATTGAAAACATTTTATTATGCGCAATGTTGTCCGTCCAAAATCTCGGATAAACTTTTAATCTTAGTTTTGAGACTGGAACATCCACATGCCAATTTAAAGAATATACCATATGGACTTAAGTGTACTAGAATAATGTTTATAATACATCACCCTTTGGCGTTATCGGATAATCAGCTCCAGGTTCCTCAATCTTCTTAAGCACCTTGTGCTACCAATTGAGCCGGTAATATTGAATTTCAAGAGGGAAAATATGACTCAGTGCTACCGTAGATCTTTCTGTAAGGAGTGGTATTAAAGAGCAAGAGATATGCGAAAGCGAAAGGGCAGAAGGGCTGTGTGTTTCAGTCCTTCAAACCTCTTAAAAAAGGCAGAGAATATTCCTCTTTGTTTCTTCCGTATCTAACGTTCAAGACTCTTTTCTGAGGTCTGTGAAATTCCCTTTCACGTTTTAAAAGGTGTTGCTGGGCTTGCGTCTTTACAGGTTTGAGGAGTGATTTCACCGAGGTTGTCCATATGACTGAATTACAGTCTGTTATCAGCTCATTTGATATTTACTTTTACTGAAAGTAGGGACGACCAACCGATATGTGGCTAATTGTAAAGTTTCTCCCTATGGAACTTACAATGAAAGCCATAACTTCCAATAAATAACGCACTATTTTTCAATAATGGTCTATGTCGTATTTATATAGCAATTCCAAAATCAATTAAATAGGGAGTGGAACACGCAGAAAAGAAAAGATACACGTTGCATCCAGAACAAATACAATAATCACCTCACTCAATCACTATTTTTATTTCTCGGAATAGAAAACTTATTTTGAAAACATTCTTGACCCATTTTGCAGGCCTTATTTTGAAATTTGAACTAGTATTAGTTTAATATTAAAACACATAAATTAGCTAATTTACAGTTATTTTTCAATTAATTCAAATTGCATATTGTAGACTTTCCTACTATGAAAACACTAATACGTTACATAACAGACCCAAGACATTTTTTAAACTTATTCCCATGTAAATTCAAATATTTCACTTGGCCAGATAAAGCCTTTTTCAGTGATGTACTAGTGTTAAAACTAGCTTTGTCATGGAAAGTAGTTGATACTGAGGCCAGATAAACTGTACTTTGAAATTCTGTATAATAGAACCTTCATTACATACTAACATGCAGTTTTACAATATTCATTATTTTTAAGATAAAGATAAAGCAGAAGTACATTTTCATGTCGATAATTAGCTGACGTCTTAAATCTCTTGAAATTGCAATGTAATTACTTATATAACAAATATATGAACTTAGTTTGTGTAAAATTTGATTCATCTTTTAAAAAATTGGCTACAAATGAAGTTTTTATATAAAGTATACAAGATGCTTAAATCTCTAGACATTTTTATACTGTTTGGTACACAATTTCCTTTTATCCAAAACAATTTTCTCATTTTGAGAGAGAATCGTTGATCTGTCAAAATATTGTGTGTCAAAGTGGTAACAGTAAACCAGCTACAATTTGAAAATGTAATGTTTTATATGAGAATTTGTTTTTAGGAGAAGAGTTCAATATTGATTGATAAAGACTAGTATTATAAAACTGAAGTAAACATCACATTTGTGTTTTTTTAATGGTGATTAGATTTTCCTTAAATCCCCTGCAGTTTCTCACTGTACAATTTAACGTCATCCGCACAGATATTTGGAAACTTCCAAACGGAAGTCGTCGGAATTCAGTCAGACGCACAGCATCACATTTTCACCGCAGTATCACGGCATCACCGCAGTGGAGCTTTCTGGGAACCACTTATTGCTGTTTTTCCCCTGGATGCACTCATTGCCTATTCTTCCCAGAATTATAGAAAAATAGCTTCATTTCATTGCACGTCACAACGCATTTCTTGGACCGGTCGCTTAGAAAGATGTTAAGAATATATCAAATCGCGGAAGCAAGGGGCTCATTATTCCTAGTTGGTTCATACGAGCAGACACTGTTGTTTTGAAAGCGTCAAGATTTACTTACATATTATTAACGGGAGCCAGGAAGTGGATGTTCTTTGAGGCCTGTGTTTAAAAACGTATACATTTAACAGGGATTCAGAGCGAACGAAAATTTTTCAGGTCGGCGAATCTTCTTTTATCTTCAAGGTTAGTATTCGCATTAATGAATTGCATGGGCTAGTTTCTTTTTGTTTCTATACTGACGATAACTTCAGTTTTTATCTCGCTTTTGTTGTCGGTTTGTGACTTCGAGCTTGACACTTCCCTTTAAAACATCATAAACGAAAAACGTTATTCGAAGTGGAATAAGTACTTGAAAACCATTAAGACGAAAGTATTGTAATTTAGTGATATGTCATAGTAAAATGAATATAGGAATATTTTCTTGCCTTCTTAATATAATTACCACTAAGCATTGCACTGGTACTCGGAAGCAGTTAGTCTATTAGTGAGCTTTTCATAGTTACTTAGATATTTTTACCCCATAAGTGGTTTTCTCAGCATATAATTTTATCATAATCTTCATCACCATCATCATAACAGAACTAATACAAAATATGTCACAACAATTATGTTAAAATTATATGCTGAGAATACCTCTTTAGTGGAGAAAAATCCAAATAACTATGCAAGGCGAAGTCTCTAAAAATCCAAGACTGAAAAACGGAATGCCAAATATGGAAACGAAAATGATGAAAAGGAAAAAAGGCGGTAGCTAATGATAATGATGGAAATGAAGATATGATGAGCTTGAGGCAGTAGCAAGATAAGCTACTGTACAGCAAATCTCTCGTAATTCGTAAATATTAATTTCTAAATAGCCTTGTGTTTTGCCTTATCATATTACTGCCCCAAGTCCTTCATAAACGGGAACAAGACATCCTTACCAACCGAGCAACCTGCGTCCTTCTGTCTGTCCGTAATCCATGGTTAGACCCCTTCCTGTTCACCAGTCAAGATAAATGAGAGCCGTACGATGTCTGTATCTCCTGGTGAACAACTGACAATGTTTTGGAATCTTTATCTTTTATTAAATCTTAGAATCCCAAAAATTCTAAGAAATTTCTCTAAAAACGATTTTTTCCCCAACAATGTTTTGAGTGACTTACAGCACCTACGGTGGTGATCTTATAGCTCGTTTGTTTCCTTTCGACTAGACAAATCGATTGGCATTCTTACGCGGATTCCTCTTGGATGTTCTGGAAGAAAAATACGTATTATTGTTGGTTTCAACGCACTTACGAGTACATTAGTGAAACGCTGTACATTACTTTAGTGTATTTCCGGCATTTGCATGAAACGTCACGATTTCATTCTTGAGATTTCCGATAATTAAACCCCATATTGTAATGAAAGAAATTATTAAACAAGTACTGTAATCGACTATTTTGAATGTACCATTCTGCGCCCGAAAATGGAAGATCGTGGCAATTGTAACACGTTTAACATTTATATTATTTTCTTATGAACTTGGAAATCACAGAGAACGTCTTTTTTATTCAATTTATCCTTTAGTTGTCACCCGTAAGACTGCTTGGATTTCTGAGATCGGTATAACTAAACGAGTCAAAATGTTTCTGAATGCAAAAAAAATAATTCTTGTACCATTGGTTTACATCATACCATAAGGTTTTAGTATGAAGATACCCACTGGAGGCACCATGCTAATCTAGTATGTAGCAACAGTCCATACTTTCGCCAAAATGGAAATACAAACATTAATGAATGCCAGGACGCTTGCGGTGGAAATTTAAGCTAATACCCTACCGCTCCATATCCTTATCAAACGCAAACAATGTAAACATATGCTAAAACCAAACGCAAAATAAGGAAGCCGCGAGCGCAGAGGGGGAGGNNNCCCGCCCCCGCGCGGCTTTATTAACGCGCGCGCGGCGCCGCGCCGCACTCTGCCGTTCGCCGTGCACCGCTCCCGCCCGCCGCCGCGCCCCGTGCTGTACCCCGTCCTTGTGGCTCCGGAACTCCAGAATTTAATGTGTCCATGAAGAGCAAAGTTGTAGGATTTCAAGCATCCTCCAAGTTTCTTCCCACCGTCAGGTAAGTTGTCATGCGCATTGCAACAGTATATCAATTCTTGGTCATTCTTCGTTTGCGTACGATTTTTTTTGTGGGATTCGATTTGTTCTACTCGTTGTTTAATGCTGAATCAACGCCGATATATTTATGAAGTAATGAACTATTCTTGTAAAATTAAATTAACTATTGAAAGTAACTGAAATTGTGACTTCAGAATGCGCTGAATTAAATACGCGGGTTTTTCTGGGTTTCTTATCGCTTGCTTTAATGAGCGCTACTTCAGGAAGTTTTCAAAGTTATGTTTGATTCGTTATTTCTCAGAATGTCTTGGTAATAATCATTACATATTACACCTCAACGATTTGTACGATTAGGTGATATTAGGTAGTTTAGTTTTGCAGCTCTGTAAAAATTAGGGTTGCCAGCTGTCCTCTTTCCCCCCGACATGTCCTCTTTTGAGGCCCGTTTCTTTGAATTCTTATGATTCCTATGATTAAATTCTTTCGTTCACATGATTAACGATATTATGTATTTACACATTTTTGTAGACATAAAGTTTGTAACATACCATTACTGTGCGTCCTCTGTTTTAAATCTGAGACCTGGCAGCCCAATAAAAAATGTGTAGGCCTTGGAAATCTGTTTATATTCACGTACAATTTTCAGATTTGTTTTTTCAAACCACTTCGCCACTGGGCGAAATATTAGTTTCCTTTGACGAGGGCGGGAGGAGGGGGAAGTATTTTTACTGGAAATAGGAACTTCCTTGGTGCACTTCCTTGCAAGCGTCTGAACGGCAGCTGGTAGCGGAGAGAGCGACGGGTGTGGCGCAGGAAGTGGCCAGGGCGGGCGGCGGGCCAGCGTCGCGTCGCGTCGCGTCGCGTCGCGTCGCGTCGCGTTGGACGGTTGGGCTGGCGACCGCGACGATGCCACCTGGCGGCGCCTCTCGAGGTCAACCGGCTCGCGAGGAGGCGCGGCGCACCGAGGGGCCGGGCGGGCGGAAGTGGTCGAACTGGTTACCTCTTTGTTCAAACGCGAAAGATTTTTGCTGCCTTTTTTGTACATTTAATCGCTTAGTTGACACCCGTAAGACTGCTTGGATTTCTGAGATCGGTATAAATAAAGGAGTCAAAATGTTTCTGAATGCAAAAAATTAATTCTTATATAATTAATTTACATCGTTTCATGTAGTTTTTTAAAACATTAACTGATAATGAAACATAGTCAGGATATATCCAATGTAATTAGTTACGTATTTGAAAAATAAAGTTAGAATTATAACGATTTCAATACTTTCGAAAAACATTATATTCATTCATATATTGACGAACTCGAATGCTCTACAGTTGAGACTGGAAACTGGAGGGAGGTTGGTGAATCGTAATAAAAAAATGGCCACCATGTAATCTGGTCTCTTTTAAGCTTAGATTAATATTAAGCTCAGGTAGTGTAAATGTGTAAGTAAACTATTGTAAATGTGTTTTTCCCTGAAATTTTGTCTTCATGGTACAATGAGTAATAAACGTATTCTTTTGTTGCAGGCTTGAGAAGAATCTTTTCACTCGCAAAGGCAGTCGCAGAGGAAACGCTGGAAACCGTCTAGAGCTCCAAGTGTTGACGCAGTTGCATCACGTGCCTTAGAGGAAACGCAAGAAGCAGTGTTTGTCCTTATCAACCGACGAAGCGCGTTTTAGGTAACCGCCATCATGGTTCAAGGCAGCAAGCAGGTCGGGCCGTCCCGCGTTGGAGCTTTCGACAGGGACCCCGCAGCGAGGTAAGGCCTAAGCCGATCACGGAGAAAGTCGACGAACCAGTCCGTGTGTAGGTTCAGTCCGACGCGTGACAAAGAAACAAGGAACCGGGACGCCACTGATTCATATAATGCTTTTCACATTTTCTCTCAAGATTAGTCTTGATAATTTCAATAATCGTCTACAAGCTTAGCTCTTACGAAAAATTTTGCTGGTCTAGGAAGCTTACGCATAAAAGACCCCATCCCCTCAATCTATGCGTGAGCAAAGAATTTTTAATTTGTCATCACCATTGGGGCTCTGTGAGCATTGCAATCCACTAGTTTGTATAGTCTTGCGGGTTGCGTTTGGAAAGTCTGCTCTAAAACTTACACCCTAATTTTGAATCTGATTATTACACTTTAACTTTAAAATCAATTGCATAAAATAGTGTTGAATAAAGTAATAATTTTTTAAGGATTTTTAACTTCATCATAAATTTGGGGGAAAAAATAAATGACACTGTGGAGCTGAAGTAGGTAATTGTGGGGGCCCTCGTTATTCAGTTTTGAAGAACCCCGTCTTTTGTGTGGTAGTTCAAACAATGAGATTTTCTAAGGAGTAAGCTATAAAAAGTGGCGTTCCAGAGTTCGTATCTTGTCGCCGATCGAATTGAGCCTGCCAGAGGCTATTCGCAAATGTCGAGATGCTCCCGAGGTTCAGTAGGGCTGACGATTTCTTTGCGTGTTCCCAGGAAAGCATCGTACGAGGCGATGCAGAAGAGCGAGCGAGATCGTCGCTCCGCGTCGCAACAACAACAGCAGCAGCAGCAGAAGCAATACGGGGCGTGGGGGCCTGTCTTCAAGGACAAACAGCACTTTGCGCAAATGCACTTCTGCTAGGCCGCCCGCACGACGACCTTTTGGCGGGTGGCCGTGGGCGCTACTAACCCAGCTTTTCACTTTAATCCCTTCCCCATCCCTTATCCCCAAGCTTCTTAACCAGCCAGGATTGTAATCATTTTGATTTACGAATCTATTTTCTTTTGCTCATTTAATAATGGACGGTTTAATGATGTATCATGTTTCATCTTTTCATTGTCATGTGAACACAATGTGCCATAAAATTCTGTCACATGCGATAAACGACTGTAAATCAGCATTGTGTTGATGTATACTAGTCCCTTGTCAGCTTCTCTGGCAAAAATGGTTTGTTGAATATTGTTAACTGGATTTTTCTAAAGAGAAAGTATTTATTAAGCTTCAGGAATACTATATTATAATATGTCCGACACGGATGTGTATATGGGAAGATTGGGTCCGTGTTTGTGAAGTACAAACAAGAAATTAAAAATATTTTAAACATTTTTCTTTTTTGAATGTTTTCCTTCTTTCTCCAGCCATCTATCAAAAATCTTCTTGAGAAGAAAAGGGGTACATAAATTTTACTTTATTATAAATATTTGTACAAAACATGAGATGATACCAAAAGGTAGCCGAAATTGCTGATGATGATTTCTTCAGATTATAAATGGACGGATGAGTCTTCTTTCCTTTAGCAGTAGATGTCTGCGCAGTAGACATTCTCCGATGATAGTAACAATTGAGAGACCTATGCCTGCAGCCAAGGAAAAAAGATTTATCATTAGTAGGAGTTAGAAGAACTTATGTGACCGGAAAAGACAAAAGAAGATAATTCGAGGATTTTACGCTATTGAATAACATTTCACAGAATAGTCAAATAGAAATTATATGATTTCTAACATAAATGACGAAGTATGTATTTCTTCCGCTTCGTTTCTAAATTATTATGTATTGAAAAAGTAGAATGATTGCAATTACCCCCTTAGGCAATATAGTATTTCCGTAATTATACATCGTCTCTCTATGGTCATAGGTTTTGTTGGGAATAATTTATTGTCACTCACTTAATAACCTGTTAATCGTATCAGATATCATTCGATTGGTAAATGTGAATTATCTTAAATATGCTTGAGGTGCACTGCGAAAGAAATATATTGGTTGTGTCAAGAATCGCTATCTTCCGTTCATTTTCGTCACTCGGATGTCTTGACATTTTCGAATATCACCGGTCTTTTCGAGATCCCCTTGGTGTTCTTGCTTCAGGTTCTTCATTAATATATGCTTAAATAGCAAATAGTTTGCTTATATTTAAAGACAATAATAAATATTAATTAACCATATGAGAAGATTGGATCCGTGTTTGTGAAGTACAAACAAGAAATTAAAAATATTTTAAACTTTTGTTTTCTTTTTATTTTAATGTTTTTCGTCTTTCTCCAGACATCTAACAAAAATCTTCTTGAGAAGAAATGGGTACATTAATTTTACTTTATTATAAATATTTGTACAAAACATGAGATGACACCTTGTGTGTTCGTGGCTAGATTTCATTGAAAACCCTTTGATTGTCAATAGTTCCATCTTAAACTTTGCTTTGTTGATTGAAAAATTCGAAATTAAAATCGAGATTAATTAAATATTAAAATAGTATTTAATTCAAATGAATATTTTTTCCAGGATTTCAAGAACGCGGGACGGCTTACATGTTTCTGAGAGATTATTTCTAACACGCCATTTTGATTTCGGAGTTCTCGTCGATTTTACGCACGAACAAAGTAAAATACATATTAATACTTCATAATATTAGAATATTTGTGAATGAAAAAGTCCATTTATTTATAAAACGAAGTGTTGCACTTTGAGAGCCGTGATAATGAGAAGGGAGAAGTTTCATTGCTCGGTGATATGTGGCAGATTGGATAGGGGGGGGGGGGAATCGCCTGGCAAGGGCCGGCTTCGCACAAGTGGAAACATTCCGAGAAGCATTCCATTTATAAAGATTAATAAGAGACTTGAGTTTTGAAAAAAATTGAAATATTGTTCATTATCGTAACAGGGTTTTACGTTTGACAAGAGTAGTTATCTTGCGTGCTTGATGCCAATGAGTTACAAGTATGATGTATGAAGGACGATGTATGAAGTATAATAAAATAGTAAATAGTCTTTACGACGTCTAAGCTAGAATGAATGCAAGTTGGAAAGTTTCTATTTATGCTGTATCGTATTGTGTGATATTATGTATCTTCCAACCGTAATCGTGTAATTGAAGAAGGAAAGATCACGTTTGCTCCTAACAGAATCCAGTGGCGCTTTGATCATTGCATACTTGTCTATTTACGTCTCCCTCGGTCATACAGCACTTACGTGCTTTCTTTCTGATATGTGCATTACTATTTCCCCCGTTATGTCACCCATTAACGTCACATTGAAACTCCACAATTCTATCTTCGTAAAGAAAAGGTACAATTGACAATTGTGAAGACATAAGGAGAGAGACAGAGAGATTGACAGACAGAGACAGAGTTATCGCTCCCGAGTGACGTTCTAGATTCAATTTTTGAATTATCTCAATATATTTTCACTGACTCAAGTTATTACCACCGATTACGTTTAACACTGTATCTGGCACGCCTCATTCAGGGCGGTGTATATTAATTAATTTATCCTTTTATATCCGATTTTACCTACCACTTCTCTCTACTGGCTAATCATACGTACGTTGCGATAGAACAGTCATCGTACGTAAAGCGTACGTATCATTTATTCATATTTTGCTACACGTCGCGTCGCTACTCGAAAATATGTCAAAAATTTAAATCTATTCGTTCATGCTATTGCCAATAATACTTGTCTTGAGCGATGGCAACGGGAGAGCAACACTAAACCGTGCGAGGTTGCTCAGAGTATCAACTGAAAGAGCATCACTGCAGTGCCTCTACCGGGAGGTCTTAGTTTCGAGTCCCGACGGTGGCAGGATTTTCCGACACTAAGTCAAATTAAGTCGCTGTCTGCAAGAGAATTCTAGCGTCAGGCTGCCATGATCGGTAGTTTTCCATTGTTTCTCCGATCAAAACCAGGTGATTGCCGAAGCAGTACCCTAAAAATCGGGCTACGGACCGTGCGCGATCTTTCGTTCCCCCTTCGTGCCCTAATCTCACCCCTTACACACACTTACATGCATTACGCTAAGAAACACGCCGGGAGACCGGTCGGGAGCTAAGAGCTTTTCCCGACGGTGGCGGTGCCCCGCTGGTGGGAGATACCTGGCTAGCCGACGGTAGGTCGGCGCCGGATCTCACCATCCAGCGGGGGTGAAGATCACCGCCACCTCCCAAGAAAAACATACATTACACTTAGGGGACTAATGACAATAGCAGTTGACGTGTCCGTAATCACTAATCAATCAAGCAACAGAGAATGAGGGGAGGGTGCAGGAGGAGGAGGAGGAGGCGGGGGCAGAGAAGGGTTAGGGCGCCCGCGCCGCCACCCACCCAGGAAGAGCATGAAGAAGGAGCCCTGCATGTCGTCCAGGTTGACCTTGTGCGTGGCGGCGTCGGGGGCGGCGTCGCGCGCGGGGGTGCAGCGGTCCCCGCGGGGCAGCGCGTCCTCCAGCCACTTGCCCAGCAGCCCGGCCTCGCGCAGCGACCGCAGCCTGCAAACGCCGCGCGCGATCACTTGCCAACTTCGCTCTTGCCGGTGCCCAAGGGAGCGCTGCTGCCCGCGTGTATCTAGAGTCCCATTCAGAGGGTAGCGCGATCCATTTTTTCACCGATCCCGCCACTTTATATTCAGTTGTCAGGAAAATTGCATATTTAGTTCATACCCAATCCCGCCATTTTATATTCAATTGTTAACGAAATGTGTGATATTCTGTGTGCTGAGAACCATGAATCTATCTCAATCCAACATTAATGTTCTTGAAAATCTTCATTACGTCACTGATTGTTATACTTTTTCTTTAGCTCCTGATGACTGTTTAGCGGGGTTATCGGGTGAGAGAATATTAAATGTCGGCGGTTGCGTTACTCTCTTAATCTAGGGACTCTACTTAAATCATGCCACTGCCTGCCCCGAACCCGCGCAAGTCTGTATGTAGAGGAGGAAGTCGTGCTTCACAGTTTGATTACGACGAAAGGAACAAATCACAGACGAATTCAGGGTGGAGGCAAACAATTTTTAATATTAATAATCCTCTTCCGCGACGTGTTATATCAGTTTATTCTTTTCGACAAACTTTCAAATTATTTATAATTGATTTACGACCACTCTGAATATTGAAACCGATTAGACATTGAATAAAAATGAAAATCAAAGTAATAATGAAATCAAAGTTCCGTCGTTTAAAAATCTGACATTTATGCAAGCCTGTCCGCATTTGGCAATGTGCAAGACATTTTAATGAATACCTATCCTGTTGTGTCATTTTAAAAGAATAACACGCAAACGTCATTTCGGAGTTGCTTACTACTATACCTACATGTGGCATTTGAGGATCTAAAACATAGTGATCTAGTGTAAACAAGAGTAGTTTCTTATTCTGACATCGGTAAACTTATTAGTGATGTGAAAAACAAAACATGAATATAAAAAAAGAATCGATATGCTAATTGATGTGCAGTATTCCTCCGAAAATTCAAAACTAAAACAAGGAAAGAGACCAGATTGAAATATTGTAACACACTGACAATACCCGTTCTGTATGCAAGTGTGATCTGGACTCCTAGGTCTCAATAAAATATTGATATGGGACAAATAAGTGACTACAATTTAAAAAAAGTATTACTTCTGTTTATCGAAGTTAATTACAAATAAGTCAAAATGGAGAGGTGCAGGAAGACAAAGAAAAAGATTAAAAGAAGGTCTATGAGCTCGAAGCAGGCAGTCGTATAATCTTTAAAGTTAGAGGGAAGAAGAAGCAAACTCCATTTCTTCAGGAGTCACAATTCTTTTCTACTCCTATTTTACGTGAAGAGAGAATGAATAATTTATTCGTCTTTAATTTGTGAAGGAGTTTTTTCATAAATGAATTATTTCTGATACCTTTATACTTGACTACCTTGGTTATTTTCCTGTAATCGTGTTTGTAAAATTAAATTTTAATTTTTTTTGTGATTTTTGAAGTTGAATTTAGTATCAATCTTTGGATGTCAAAACACGGAGAGGAACAATTTTATAATCCTTAGTGACACAGAAATACAGCATATCTTTGCTATAAAACACATCTGAAATCATCACAGATTTTTTGCTTTTACATGCGGAAACTAGTAAGTGCAAATACAAATTCATATTATTTTTACCTGAGGTTTTCTTACATTTTTACTGTTCTCCATTTTACGTATGGTGTCCAGGTTTTCCGACAATGGAATTAAATTTTTTCGGAGTCGTTTCAATTGCACTTATCGAAAAAACTCGAAATTAAGTTGTCACTTTCCACGCAGTCGGCCCACTGTAAAACCAAT